AGGTACGGGGGTAGGACACGGGAGCCGGGGCGGGACGGAGCCCCGGGCGAAGCGGAGACCCCGGGGCAGGGGATAGAGCCCTCGGTTCTGGACACAGGGACCGGGGCAGGGGATGGAGCTCCCGGACAGGACGCAGGTACTGGAGCAGCCGGTGGAGCCCCCGGGGTGAGGACAGGGCTGCGGGATGTGCTGGCACGGCAGGGCTCAGCTCTCCCCGAGCTTTGGGGAAGGGGTTACCAACGGCTTTGAAATTCATCTGTTGGACCATGTCAGGTTTATGGCTCTCACCCAGGTGAGCCGAAGCCTGGAGGTGTGGTTTCTTTTGGAATCTGGTTGGCTCCCTCCGGATGAACGTTTCCACCTGAGCGTGATGTGGTTTCAGTGATTCACGCCTAACCAGAGCCCTTTCATGTGGCGTGTTCCTGCGTGTGTCCCCGTGATGGGCTGCAGTGAGGGACTAGGCGAGGATTCTGGTCTGGCTGGGAGGGAACTTGTTGGAAAGGCGAGGAGAGGTGGGAGCGCAGGTGGGGGAGCGGGCGGGGGGGTTTGTGTTGGATGTGAGGGCTGGGGCTGTGCTGGCTCGCCTGGGCACAGAGCTGTGCCCTGACTCATTCCTTCCGTGGGGTGAGGAAGTCTGAAAAAAAACTTAAATAACTTAAGGAGCCAAATAAAGCCCCATTGACAGCACCTTTCCTGGCAGCAGCCGTGCCCGTGGGAGCGCTGGGGCTGACGGCACCGGCCGGCAAACCCTTCGTTTCCGACATGAGCTTCCTGTCCTACTTGCTGGTGGCAGCACCAGGTCCCTGCTCCACTTGTCCCCTCGCTTCTGCCCCACGTTTCCCTGGGCTTATGAGCATCCCTAGGGCCATCTGTCACCCAGCTGAGTCCCCAGCCACTTCCTACAGGGAACAGTGTCCTGTGCCAGTGGCTCCCTGGCTCTGTCCTGGGCTCTGTCTGTGTGTGACAGCCCTGTGCCATGTCTGGGCTTTTCCCTAGAGCTGGACTTGTCCCAGCAGCACTGAGGAACTGGGTGCTCCATCCCTGTTCCCAGCCTGTGAGGCTGGTGTGCCTGGCAGCCCCTTCTTCTCTGTTGCCCAAGGACAGATGGGCTGGGCAGGGGCCTGTGTTTGCCTGGGGTCAGAGTGTGAGACCTGTGGGCTTTGGCAGGTGCTCGTGGAATTTCTTGCAGAGAGGGTGATGGCAGGAAAATCAGCAAGGGGGAGAAACCATGTTGGCTCTGCAGCTCACCCCACACCTCCCAGGGCTGCACTGTCCCTGCTGGGTGTCCCCAAAGGCAGTGAGGGGAGGGGAGGGGACCACTGCCCAAGGTCCCCTCTGATGCAGCAGGATTTGGGGGCTGTTTGCAGCCCTTGTCCCCTGTGTCAGTGGGAGCACCGTGGGCTCCACTGTGGGGCTGCCATGGGTGGCTGTGGGGCACGCTGCCTAATTAGAAGCAGAGATCCTTGCCTGCCCCAGCAGGGCCCAGCCTGCCATTGTGGCTTGTTGTACAAAGCTGCAGCCCAGCAGAAAATGATACGTTTCCCGGCTGCTTTTTCAGTCCTGGGACCCGCAGGGAGGGCTGGTATCCCTGGGGGCAGGAGCAGGGCTGAGCTTTCATGCTGATGTGTCTCACGGGTGTGTTTTTGTGGAAAAGGGGGCTGGGGGACAACCCGGGGTGACTCACCTGCCTGCCCTGCCCACCCGAGCCCCTGCCAGCGCTGCCTGCCTGGGTGGCTTGGCAGGCAGGGCACGGTGGTGCCTGTGGTGTAGCTCAGTGCTTTGCTCTCCATGCTGGTAGCACAGCAATTCTGCAGCCCCATCTCTCTCTGGGCAACCTAAACCTGTAATTTCTTGTCCCAACCACTGCTCCTGCCCTCCTGTGGGCTGTGACCCCCCCCGTGCCGTGGCCCCCCCACTCCCAGTGCCCAGTATGGCCGTGCTGGCACCTCAGGCACCCAGTGCCAGATCCCACCAACACCCCAGGGCTGGGGGAGTGGTGAGCACCAGTGACCATCCCCAGTCCTGCTCCCAGCCCCGCTGCCGTGGCAGCTTCCCAGCGTTTCCCTGGGCGTGGGGTGTATCCCAGGAATGTTTTCTTTCCTTGGGCGGCAGATTGGAGTGCACAGGGTCTGCTCTGTGCCCTGTCCTGGGCTGCACCCAAGCTGACCACAGCAGGGAGAGGCAGTGGGGATGGGCTCATCCTCCCCATTACTGACTTTGAAGCCAGTAACGCTGCAGCCCAGAGGGTCTCTGTGGAGGTGAGGGGTGGTGGGTGGCAAGGAGACCTGGGGCCACGGGGGTCCTGCTGGCCCCAGCCACTGCTGGGCTCAGCACAGGACCTGCTGCCCCACAGGGACACATGGCCCAGTGAGAGAGGATTAGGGGCACAGAGGATTTTAGGGGCTGACTCTTGGTTTTCCTTTTCTAGGTCTGCACTGGGAAGGACCTGAGAGTCTCACCCATCCCTCTGGCTGGGACCATGGCAGACACTGAGGACCCTCTGCGTGGCGATGCTGGGGAGGGTCCAGGGGATGATGGGTCCCTCCAGAATGACTCCTTCCCACTCTCCTCTCTGGCCAACCTCTTCGAGAGCGAGGACACCTCGTCCCCTGCCGAGGCAGCCCGAGGTCCTCCTGGTGCAGGGGATGGGAAGCAAAACCTGCGCATGAAATTCCACGGGGCCTTCCGGAAAGGTGCCCCAAAGCCCATGGAGCTGCTGGAATCCACCATCTACGAGTCATCCGTGGTCCCCGCTCCCAAGAAAGCCCCCATGGATTCTCTGTTCGACTACGGCACCTACCGGCACCACCCCAGCGAGAACAGGCGCTGGCGCAGGAGGGTCGTGGAGTGAGTCCTGCCGAGCCCCCCGGGGCTGCTGGGGAGCGAGGGGCTGGGGGACACCTCGGGCGTGCTGTGCTGTGGGTATGGGGGACACTACGGGTATGGGGGACACTGTGGGTATGGGGGACACTACAGGTATGGGGGACACTTACGGGTATGGGGGACACTGTGGGTGTGGGGGACACTGCGGG